TCACTGAACAACATTAATAGACATCAATAGACAATATATTCTGGAACTCATATTATGAATTAGAAATGAAAATGTATGAAATTCAGAATTGGATTCTAATTCCCAATTGATTAGGATCAAGAGCATTCCAGAGTGAATTGGCACGTTTGGAATCAAAATTTTGAGAAACTTAGAATGTTATGAGATTTTTTTTCCAACTGAAATGAGAGATTGTGATATGTTCACGATTGTTTTTTGTTATTCTCGTATTGGTGGACGTTTTTGATTGATATTTTCCATGACAATAATTTGAGAAGCTGAGAATCTTCATTTGATTGAATCTATTATTACTCGGGGGACCAAACTTTTTGAGGTTATGGACCATCAAAACACGTGGTTCATGCAATAGACGTTCTCTCTGTGATAATTTGGTATGGATCAAAGTGAAGGTCAATTCGGTTTTCTCACTGATTTTGATGGATTGAATAAGAATCAGACTTACCGAATTATCCTGAAAATTGTCCGCGTCCAAAAATGAATCTCACGTGATATCCCTTCGATGATTGAGAGAGATGATTTTGTCAGCGATTTTGGGAGGGAAAATGCAACGAGGTTCGATGGATAGTTTCAACTAACACATTGGCTACTTACCATCAATGTCACTAGCTAATCTAGGGAAAATGGCGGTCACTCAACACTGGATGGGAGAGGGATGCAGCCAAAATCATTATGTCTTTCTCACTCGCACACAATTCTGCCAACTTGAGGGCACGAGCATGCGTTGAGATAATCGAAATTGTGAAAAATGCATTATGCCTCGGTTGCTATGGGCGTATCTTATTTAATATTAACTTTATCCAAAAAGTAAAAATAGCATTAGAAAGGCCGTAAGTGATTTATATGGCGTAACCAAGAGTAATTCCTCGATTCATCCACGCATTCCGACGGAATGAAAATAATAAGGTTCGAGGGGAGTGGCGGGGTGAGTTGTTAGGCATATATCATACACGGCAGCGGTAGGAGCGGGAAAACGTCCACCTGGCCGATACGCTGGCGCGTATCTTGATCCCATCCAGTATTACACGTGTTACATTCACTCCGTAATTATTATCAAAGAATCGTCAATTTAATTATAACACTGATGAAGACGCAATAAAATTAATAATATCAATAATTATACGAATTTGTTTCAACACAAAAATAATACACTGACCAAATGTCTTAGATATAGCGAAGAAATGAAACGTGAATTACTCTGCTAGCGAGGAGGATGATTGAATCGTTATTCTATATAACACAAGTCAATAGATAGATGAGAGAAAGAGAATTACAGATCGCAGTCGTCACAGGCTGGAAGGCCAGCGAGCGTGGGTCAGGTATTTTGGCCCGTGGTATCCGATTAATTGTCCAGCGCCACATTGTGGTATCTAGAAATACCAATTTTCGTTACGCAGTCTCTTGACGAAATATTTAAATCATCACATTATCCCCCTTTTCTTCCTTCAGACATTATGTGGATGATGAAAAAAACATCTAATCTCTGAGCCAACTGAGCACTGATTTACTCTTATCGTCTTGGGTTGCGTAGGGACTATGGTCACTACGTAGCCATCAGCGATGTCAAGCGCCCCATCCCCATGAAGTGGCTTGACGACAGTTCCAGAGCATCAATGAATAACATCCAGGTCGTACCATACTCGACAATATCAGTTATTTTAGATTCATGAGCGCCAGGTGACACTCCCGCCGGTTCACGCTTGATACCACATCCTCCACCACGGTATCCTGACTGCCATTAGTTTCATCACATTCTTCATGATGCCCTTTACCTCACTCTCCGACCAACCAACCCAATGACCATGCACATTGGTTAAAAATTCTCCCTTACGCACAAAATTGTATAACTCCATTACTTTTTGCACATCATCCTACATTGCCAAAATAAACAAATTTTATTATCATCTTCACATAGTATTTCATACGAAGTTTTAATCTACTCACAACAATCTGAATATCGTCAGGAATCACATAA